TCCTCGGAGCCTTCTCTTCTCCAGGCTGAAATCTCTGTGGGATGGAGGTGGGAGGGGACCAGTCAGAGAAACCCCTCTGTGGCACCCAAGTCTGGGGGCTTATACATTTACAGCCCACCACCATATCCCAAATATTCTGGGGGACCCAAAAAAGAAACGTTTTCTGGAGCAAAGTGCAGCCCAGGTGGAACCAGGACAGGGGCACATGGTAGAAGATCTCTAGGAGATCACGCAGAGACATGCTTGCTCCCGGGAAAGCCCAAAGTGGTGTTCAGTGATGAGCCCTAAATTCGGGGGTGTGATGCTTGCCGGGTGTCCCGGCAGCCCCGCAGCACTCACGCGTAGTGGCTGTCCCACTCGTAGCGGCGCCGCAGGTCAGAGAGCAGGGAGAAGGCTCGGCTGGCGGCGATGCTGACCAACATCTCGATGCGGAAGGAGAGGAACTTGTCCTCCTCCAGTGTGTACATCCGCACCTCGGGGAGCACAGGGCACGGGCTGGGACATGGTCACCACCACCGAGCCCTCGGGCTGCCCAGGCTCGGGGGGTGACAACAGCTCAGGGGAACGGGGCAGGTTTGGTACCTTTTCCTTTTCGCTGGCGAGTGCCCAGTTTGCTTTGGCTACGAGTGTCTTCAGCGCAGAGACGTTGTTGTAGCTCAGATAAACCTGGGGCAGGGGCAGCAGGTCAGGGGCAGGAAGCGGGGGTGGGAGGCAGCATTGCCCGTGGGGCAGCACCCTACCTTGTTGCTTTGGTCCCAGGGCACGGAGAGCGGCACCTCGGTCTGTTTGCAGGAGACAACGTATTTTCTGCAGGAAAGGAACAATTTCCCTTATAGTGGGACACAAACCACCCACCGACAGTCCCTGTACCCCAGCGCCAAGCCCCCTCTCCTCCCTCCTCCATCTCTGCATCCCACTTGCTTCTCCCACTCACCGGTCCAGCCGAATTTTTTTCCTAGCACTGGCTTCTCTGTATCTCCTCTCTCCATCCTGGTAAATGGAAATATCACATTAGGTTAATAGGAAAAGGAGGAGGGAAAAAAAACAAAAAAAACCAATAGATATCTTTTTGGGAGTGGGCAAAACGTCCAGCAGTGAAAAGCCCCTGTGCTCGATGGCTGCAGCCCCAGCTGTGCAGGCAGTGGTGGTGATTAACCGTGAGATATTTCAGCATCGCTCCGGCACGCTGTGATCAAGGGATGGGCACTGGCACATTAAGAAAAAACCCTCCCTGCAGCTGCAGAGCTGCAAACAGCTGCTGAAACACAAACTGCACCCCCAAGCACATGTAAATATCCCCTCCTAGAAAATAAAAACCCCCAAAAGAGCAGCTTCTTTCAAACAAAGCAACAGTGCAGTGCTTTAAAGCAGGCGGAGAAGCGGTTTCAGGGAGCCTGGCTCCAGCCATGAGATGCTCTCCCGCAGGGTGGGAGAAGAGTTCTAGTTTTGAGGCACCAAAAAGAATCAGGCAGGTGGGCACGGATCAGCCGAGGGGGAAGCGATGCTGTCACTCGCTCACCCTACCATGTGCCCTGAGACGTGCGGGTGTTTGCTTCACCGCTGTGCTCGCCTGACAGATTTTCTTATATATTTGAATCCAAGCAAATTATGGATTAGGATGCTTTGAAAGGTAAAAGCAACCTAAGAGGTTTGCTTCCCTTCCCCTAAATTGTAGAAAAGATGAGCTGGAACTTGCAGGCAATATTCTGGTAAGCTTTGCATGGTTAATATGTCTCCATCTCTGCCCAGGCAATGGTTTATTTTATTATTAGTTATACCGAGCGATCCATTTAAGTCACTCGCTGAAACCCAGCAATTTCATTTCCATCATCATCATCAAACTGCATTTTTTTGCCATGAATCCATGAGCCTTTCAGGACTAAGCGGGGTCCCCAGGGTTCCACACCAGTGCAGTGGGGAGAAGCCAGCCCTGCCCATCCTTACCCCCAGCTCGGGTGCCACCATGGGCAGGGTGCGGGGTCGGCCCTCCTCATCCAGCACTACGAAGGTCATGAAGGCGCTGTTGATGTGCCTTCTGCTGACGGACATCTCCTGGCCGTATGCCTCAGCGCAGACCCCCACCTCCATGCTGGGGAGGGGGGAGAAGAAGAGGTGAGGGTGTGGGGAGCTGCTGGGAGAGAGGGATGAGGACCCCCAGTTGCCGGCACCCACCTGTTTTTGAAGGCATTGTTGACAATGGCTTTGAGCACCAGGCGGTCCCCAACTTGTGATGGTCCTCGGAAGTGAAACATCTCGATGGCCCGCAGCGTGGGGTGGGCATGGCACAGACGGCTGTGGGGGACAGGTGTCACCCCCCTGGCTGTGGCAGCTGGCAGCCCCGCGCACCCTCTCCAACCCCGCCAGAGCTGAGGGGACCCCCAAAAAGTCACCCCCGG